CTAATAAGAACTCTTATCAGCCGAACATCACTCTAACATTCTAACAACTTGATGTCTTGCTTTTTTCCCTAATATTTTCTTCTTTTAATTTCTCATTTTATCCTAAAAGTCTTATTGAATTCTTGTCTTATTGATACAAGTATTGAAGGATTTGAAATATAAGATTTTTTTTTATTCTTTTTGATCAATAGTCAAGTGTTTTTTATGTACAAAGATATGCATAAGAGGGGTATATATCTATTGATATTTGGCTTGGATTTGATGGATGGAAACAAAATAGATTTGATCAAAGCCCCACTGGTCTGTAAGCCTTGATTTGCAATTTTGGGTCTTCTCTACAGCTTTCAGTCTTTTCTCTATCATCTTCTTTTGATGTGTGAAACATGGTTCAACTGATTTATATCATTTATGACTGGTTTTAGATGTTTTTGTTGTGTTGGTCTGTGTTAATATGTATTTACAAGATTTTGTAAATAACCAAAACTTAATGCATTTAAAGTATGAAGTTACTGTAGATGTTGACCAACAATGATATACTAAGTCTTCCATTCAGGATCTACAGAACATTAAATTTGATGCCTACCAACATCTGTCAAGATTTTAAACCAATGAATCTTGATCTGATCATGTATCTATGTTTTTTTTTTTTTTTTTTTCCGGTTGAGTAGTTTCCTGTATATAATCATTTCACTTCTTTGTGTTTTTATCTATTTGGAATTGTTCTTATTCCTTGTCAATTATGGCTACCTATTATGTTCTCAGTCCTGGTGTTCTCCGTTGCCTTGCAATGCTTTTCATAATTCTATCTAGAGTGATGCTCTGGAATTCAAGAAATATTCTAATATCATATGATTATCTTGGTTCTTTATTATTCCATCAACTGATTTGCTGCTCTAGTTATCACTTGCTAAAGGGATCATGTATATCTACAGAATTACTTCTGAAAGAGATGGCTTGGAAGCTTGTAACATTCTTCATGCTGCTGGACCTTCAAAGGTTTTTCTACTTCCATCAATCTACTTAAGATGAAACTTGTTAGAGTTTGAGTAACTTGGATTTTTTATTGCTTACTTAAGTCATGATTTTCATTTACTAACAAAAAGGGCTATCAAATCTTATTTCTTATGGGCATTATAATTAATTATGGATGGATACATGCTACAGTACAAATTACATTTCCATTCAACCAAGTACTTCACTGTGCTAGTGAATGGCTGTTTTCAGAGTTTCATTTCCTGGTTGAAATTTTGTTGTCTAATTTCTTATGATATTCTGACTGATATTTAGGTTAGAAAAAGAGAGGTTGGATTTTCTTTTAGAAAAATTAATAAATTTATCCAACTTGACAAGGTATTGGGTCTATGAGATAAACTGATGATTTTAAGGATTTAGTTGACTCCTTTCATTTTCGGAGACAGACTTATTTGAAAACTACTACTATATGGGAAATCAGTTTTTGTGACATGCTTCATGTGCTTATTAGCAAGTTGCATTGCCACAACATTATTTTTTTATTTTTTTGTGTTTGACTTTAAGGAAACCCAAGGGTGGTGTGTCGTGTTGATGTCTGTACCCTCTACATTATTTATTTAGTTGTTAAATAGGTTTTCTTGTGGATTTCATGCTTAATGTGTTTGTAAGGAAGCTGCATTACCACAATATATTTTGTATTTGACTTAAGGAAACCCAGGGGTGGTGATTTTTCTACTTTCTACCTTATTTATTTAATTGTTAAATAGGTTTTCTTGTGGACAATCTTTTCAAAATAGGTACACAAAAGTTTATTTTTTAAGTAACCATTTCTTTACTTTTATTTTCCTTTTCATATTGCTGTCAAACAGCCAAAAGCCTTGGTGCTCCCCCTCTCTCTCTGTTGTGGGAAATAGTTAATTTCATTCCTTGTTCTGTCATCAAGGATTTCACATCTCTGTGGACTTTGGTTCTTTTTTCTCATACATAATTTAAAGAACGTATGCACCATAACGATGAATAACTTAGTCTATGAGCTGCATGTTTTGTGTAAAGAGCATTTTCGTCCAGCGAGTTAGATACTTTATTTTTTGTTATTTGTAGCAATTGCTGAATTGGGTTCATGTTTCAGGTTGTGATAACCAGTGTACATATAGAGGATAATCTTCTCCTTATTGGAAGTCATCAAAAAGCAAAGGTAGAACTTTTTGTTGAAAAAGTAACACGTACATCAAATTTTCACTTATCTTGGAAAGCCAGTTCAGAGGTGCGACATGAATATGTAGTGATAGAAGTATTTTAAACAGTTGTTCTTTTTTAGTTATCAATTGTGGGGGACTGTAATTTGATAAGGCTTTATTTTTTAGTGGTCGTGGTCACATGCAATGTGCAAATGCATCTCCCTTGATCCGTGGTGTCTGATGTCAATAACCTATAACATGGGAAGGAAGGAAATAGTGTTTTCTTATTCCCTCTTTCCAGTTCACCCTAGGGTTTGATGCTCTCTTCTGGTCTAAACTGTCAAACTTAATTTTCACTGATATTCCTTTTGGCAACCATGGTGTGGGGAACTGGGAATTTCCTCATGGTTTGCTTTGGAAGAATTGAAATGCAATACTTTGTCCTATGGACAGGTGGATTCAGAATATAGAAAAGGTTCCAGCCCTTCCATTGTCTATGTTTGCTAAAAGGACAACCAATTAAAGCCTTTATTCTGCCATTCTAGGAAAAGGAAAATGTAGTCTATACTCTTACTGAACAAGGAGTTTATTCCATCCATATGGAAAGCTACACCAAATTTTGTGGTAGTTAAACTGTTAAGTATACATCCCTTAATGGAATTAATGAAGGAATTAGTGAAGTGGAACTTAGGTTTTCGATAAGACATTCATCTCCAATTATGAGCTTTTATTTGAAAGTAAACTATAATTATCATTTGTTTAGGATACTCACTAGTCACCCATGTGGAGAATTGCTTTATCCTTGGAGCCAGGATGTGATTGCTTACCATTTTTTTTATCTTTGTTTAGGCCTTGTATTGATGTTCAATTATAATTTCCAAATCTTAAATTATGTTTTGAAAAAATTGTGTTTCAATAACCTCTAAAATTGATCCATGTTCTCTACCATGTGATTTTCTTTTATGTTAGAACATACATCCTGATATCAAAATCAGGTCAGGTTTTTATAGTTACCATAATACTATTTTAAGTTTTAACTAGGTCCATGATAATTGCAGGATCAGCCGCCTCAGCAATTCAAGATTGTGATACCCAAGATTCCTGCATATTTTACGGTATGCTATTTTTTCCTGATAAGTTATTCATTAAAGAGAAAAAGAAGAACCCAACATACAAAAGCAACAAGGTCACATAAAACACAATGATATACAAGACAACCATAAAAGGAGTCCAAAAGTTTCCAATACATCTAAAATTTTATGATCCTTCACCAATTAAGATGTTCAATACAGGACTACAGCCCAAATATCATCTGAAGTGGTAAAGAGGTAATCCCATATCCTGCACCAAAGGTCTGGACAAACCTCTGACAAAGTAGGAACTTAGAAATCCCACTAAAGGGGGTGACCAGAAGTCACCCTAGAGAAGAATAAAAATTGCGTTACATTCAACCACCAGCCAAACCAAACCATCAACTTCCAGCAAAAGACGCACTCTAACAAACTAACTCTCCTATCCAGAAAATAGGTCACAAATCCAACAAACCCAGACAACACCCACTCGGTTGAAATTTAACTTTACCAAGAAACCCAGAAAACACCCACTCGATCAAAATCAAGGTTCAAAATTTCACAATGTATTGGCTCATATAAACCAGTATGTATCGTTCCGTTAAGGGCCTGATACATGGAATGCATAGAAATCAATTGTTTTGTTTCTTTTCACCTGTATTGGGCCGATACAGGACCATATTGGACCGTTTTGGGTTTGTGTCGGCCAATACGAACCCTATATGAGCTGATACTTTAATGTATGGACAGATATGTTACAAATTAATTACTCTCCCTCTCATTAATCTTTTTCTTATTGCTAATCCTTCTAATTAATTTCTCTCCCTCTCATTAATTAGTATAATTACATTAATTACTCCCTCTCTCTCTCTCTCTCTTTAATCTTTAAGGCAAGTTCAAATTTGAATCTCAAAATTGGACTAACACCTAAGGCACATAATTTTGGGCGTAAAATCTAAAGTAGGCCATAAGAAGATTTGAACTTTGGTCACATGATTACAATGACCATGAATCTACCACTACGTCCATATCTATTTTGTTGTTCAAATTTTATCCATTTTTATCCTTAAATAAACTTATTCTTTTTAGTGGATGTTTATTGGGGTTGGGGTGATTATGGGTCAAGTCAGGCCTAAGTCTTTTATGTATAAATTATAAAAGACTTATGGTTTAGCTAATTGACCAACTCTACCCTTACTGTTTACATATTGTCTTAAAGTACCCCTAAGTTTCTTAACAATTGACTAATTACTCCCCTGACGTTAGGGTTCCGTCACAATCCGCTCACATGTCACACCACGTGACTGTTATATTTTGACAAAATGACACTAATACCCTTTCTGTTACTGGAGTTTTTATTTTTCCTTTGTTCAGAAGGATCTCGAGATGCAGAGTCCAAGAGAGGGAGGAGCACAACACCAAAGAAGAAAGTAGGACTACGGAGAGAAAAGAGCAAAATAAATAGAAAGGGTGACATCTGAACTGGAGTTTTCATGGATTTTCAAGGGCATGTGAGATGGAAAGTTCCATTTAAGCTCAGAAGTCAGAAGATAAAACACAAGAAATTTCTTCATCATATAAGAGACCACTGACAGCTCTGCCCTAAACTCCTAAAGTAATTTGCTCCAACCAAATTTAGAGGAATCTCAGATGCGAAGAAATCAGAGGAAAGTCTTTTTCTTTGATCTTTGCCTGAGAGTCTTCATTCTGTGCAGTCATGTCTGCAGAGGTGGGTGCTGCTTGCTGAAGAAAATAATATCAGGGGAATACTCACTTATGGAGGTTGATATATTCAGTACAATGTCTATGGGAATCTTTTTGAGGTCCCTACTAAGTATGTTCCGCCGATATGGCCTGTTGGAAGAGGTGCTTATGGCATTGTCTGGTATGTTATCTCCGTTCTTGTTTCATCTGTTATGCCCCTGATTGCAGAGGCTTATCTCTCTCTCCGTTTCGGCGCAACTCTCTCAGTCTCTCCCTCTCTCACTCTCAGAGGCTTCTTCTGTTGGCTTTATGGTTCAGCTCGGTTCTGTCAAGCACATCTATGGTTCAGCTGGGTTACTGGAAAATTCCCATTTCTCTCTTTCCAAAATCTGAGTTTCAGTCGGGTGCATAAAATATCATCTTAGCAAAAGATCAACAAGGGATACAAAGGGCTTTGGGAAATCAGAAATTTTTTTCTACACTTGGAGCTTAAAAGCAAAATAATTCAGATACATCTCTTCCATATGTCGCTCATTCCTTGGTGATACCTCCTATTCCTAATCTTCTCACTACTCCAACTCCAAACCCAAGAAAAACACATAAACCATGAAACTAAACCTCCCTAATTTTTCTCATCACTGTCTTGGGTAATTTATGATCATGATCAGAACCAAAGGACAATCTCATCTGAGTAAAAACAAGGGTAGAATAACCCAAAAAGAAAATAAAAAAATAAAAAAATGAACACAGATTGCAAACCCTGAAATCTGATGTCTATTCATTTGGTATTCTCTTGCTGGAGCTTCTCAGCGGCAAATCCTCATGCCCAACGATCTTCTTAATTGGGTCAAATCCTCATGCCCAACTGTTGGATGCAACTTCCGGTAGTTGTCTGATGAGTGTAGAACAAATTACAGTTTTAGAAAATTTCATCGGTTGTGTTTTATTTTGAAAATTTGAGGAATAGTGAAGGGCAAATTTGACATTTCATTTTTTCCATTAGTACTTAACGACGATGTCAATTGTCAGAAAACTTAGGGGTACTTTAAGACAATATGTAAACAGTAAGGATAGAGTTAGTCAATTAGCTAAACCATAAGGGTAGTTTAAGAAATTTGCCCTATTTTATATTAAATAACATATAATATGCATATAATGTTTTTTGATACATTATATATTTATATAATATATATAAACTTTGATCAAAATTCAACTTTACAACTCACAAAGATACCTCCAAACCCTCCTAAGACTTCTAAACCAAATCCTCTACATAGTACATACAACTGAGACCCCCTTGACATCTTAACCCTAAACTCCCAATTAAACTCAAAGACAAGACTCCCAATTACTCAGCTTCACCAGTGGTTTGAGCATGAACCTCTTTGTTTCTCTTGCAAACTTCCTTGTTTTCTTCACTTTTTTGTTGGAACAACCCAAAATAAGCCCCCTTCTGTCTAGCCAAAATTTTTGACACCTGAACTCTTCAATTGATTCTTTTTCCATCTGAGTTTTCTTATTGCATTAGGACCCAGTCTTACAATCCTTCATATTTTCATAGCATGCATTGATCCTTTTTAAATCCAGAACCATATTCTTCTCAAAAACCTGTCTTGGAGCCACCTCTCAGTCCTCATTATCACCTTCCTCCATCACTCTGGATGCTCTTAAACTAGCTTGAGCCTCCTCTATTTCTAAATTGAATTCAGTTGTATCCATCTCCTTATCTTCCTCCTGCTCCATTTCCTCCAATTCTCTAAACACTGCTCTTGCAAATTCTTCACCCCAAGAAAAAAAAAAAACAGATGCAACATTTTACTTCCAGTTCTTTATTCACTACTTTCTCAATCTCAATCTTCCTTTATTATTAATGTGTTTCATCAATTATCAGTGTTCCGAAAATTCATCTCCAACTTCATGCTCTTTCCCTTCAATCTCATTTTCATTCTCTTCATCATTCTACTGTACACTTTTATCCCAATCTCCTTGCTATCACCATCCTCAAACCCTTCTTTACCCACTGTGGTATCCAACCCTAGTCCCTTCTTTCTTTTCATCTCTACCTCATTCCCCTTCACTTTTCTAAACAGCTTTCAATTGAGCTTTTGTGGTCTTTTACCCCACTTCTAAAGCCCTGCCACTTTTTGAAACCCTACCACTTCCATCACCCTTTGAACCTCAATGTCCTTTCTTGCTTCTAAATTTTCACTTCCATTCTCCTCCATTATCCCCTCTAATCTTTCACTTTCATTCATGCTTTCCCCCCTTACCTACTTTTCTTGTTTACCACTGCCCCTGTCGTGCTAATCACTTGATAAGCACTTCTTCGGATCTTTATTTCACCAATACCTACCTTGTTGCCAACATTTTCAAGCTTCTGGCAACTTACAGGACTTAAACCTCCTGCTTTTCTGTCAATATCGCTTGATGAGATTGATCAAAAATATCGCTTGATGCATCCTCACTCTTCCGTCAATCTGGGTTATTGAATAGACCTTGTTACCATTGTTTAAAGACTCTTTTCCTATTATTTGTTACTGAAAAGTTCTGCATGCCACACTAATGTGCATATTTTGGATATTACATGTATTTCTATATTGCTAAGAGTGTTGTATGTCCATGCTCACCTTTGTCCCTAATACAAGAGATCTACAGGGCTCTTGTCTAAAGTACCTCACACATAGAGGCAATATTTTGTGTTTTTGTGACCACATCCAAAATGGTCAAATTTTATAGACCGATTTACATTTATTATATATTTCTTGGCTAAATGGTGTAGAAATTACTAAGTTAGGGGTCATTTTCTCATGTTTTACTCGTTTCTACAAGAGGAGTGCTAATCATACTCTCATGAGTGAGAGATGTATTTTAAGGTGGTATAAATACAAAACCATTCCCATGTGAAAAGACAAACAGCTTCAACATGGACAGTGTAAAAGCCTTTGAAAAATGACAACATACATTATACATCTTTCTTACCACTGCACATGCCTGGATATTCTTGTAGGGCACCGGAGATCTGACAACTGCCTTATTACTGGGATGGAGTAATGTAAGACCTCGTAGATTTTTATATTAGATTAATCTTGTCACTGAGCATCATTATCTATTCTGAGTTCATTTCTTGCTGGACTTATTTCCATTGCTTTTTGTCCTGTATAGAAATATCCTGACGACCTTGATAGAGCATCAGAGCTTGCAGTGTCAAGCTTGCAGGTATGCTTTGTGACATTGCTACTGTTGTTTTATTTTGTTAGGTTTTATCAGTTTTTTTGCTTAGACATCATCAAGAGTAGGCAGTTGACCAGCTAAGTGATCTTATATAATATGACTAATTTATATAATAAAACTTATATAATAACTTGTATGCCCCTTTTTAACATATGAAAAGGCCATTACCCATTGTTGGGAGTTGGGACCAACAGTGGATATGTCCTTTATATATTAAAATGAATTATATGGGTACGCATTTTAGTTTTAGTATGGTACGCTAGGTTAAATTTGTAATATATTCTATTTATGTTCACCTAAGTCATCTAGTTGGTCAGGCTCTTGCTTTGGAAGCCATTCTGCTCTGGCTTAAGTGAGCCCAGGTGTTTTGATAACACTGCAATCTTTATTGAGTCTCAACACCAAATATGGTTATATAACCCATGATATTTTTATATTTATTGATTGTTATGTTCATTCTTGCAGAAGCATATTCTACTTTTATGTTGTCTCGTCAGTCCATAAGTCAATACTTGATCACTAATCAATATAAACCATCAAATGTTAGCATCCTCTTTGGTGCTTATTCCTACTAGTCTACTTTCAAAGAGAGTTGTTAACAGTTAGTCAGTGACTACTTTCTATTTGCAGCCTAAGCATTATTAGTGTGTGCAGGCACTTCTACACAGAACAGTCAATGACTACAAAAGCGTGGGCTTTGATCCCCAATCAAGTAGTTTAGAGATCAGATTGATTCAGAGCAAGGATGACATTTGCAATCCACAGGTTAATTACAAGGCAGAGAAATATCATTGAATGATTGATATTTGGAGGGAAACCTATGACTGGCGATTTGTACTGCTTATGTCTAGGATCCAGATTGTGTTTCCAGTACCGACTCTGTAGTCCTTTTCTTCTTTTGACAGGATGATTGCTATTCTTGTTATTCACTCTTTTTTAATAGCCTCCATTTACAGTTGCAAGAAAACATGAGCAAAAAGTGGTTGTTAAATTCATCTATAAAACAATGTTACTAATCATCTATTTATTTTCTCCAGGCACAAGGGGAAACTTGCACTTGTAGTGTGTTATCAATGTAATAATATGAAAAACAGAAAACAACTAAATAATTAACTAATTAAAAATGAAGTTGATGATCTGGCTAATCTCCACCTTATCTAGTTCTGACAATTATCAATTTTACCATTTTCTGTTTTTTTTTTTTTTTGAACCAGATATTTATTTTTGGTTATTTGCTTTTATAGCTTGCTCTAGATTTATACCCATGTGATGATCCAGGTTTGTTAGAAGAGGATCACCCCTTCGAATGAGCATAGACAACTATGGTCGTTCAGAAGAATCATAGCAGGTTACTTCTATACTGCTCTACTTACCATGCACCTTGTAGATGTGCCAAGGATCTTCTCAGACCTCTTCTGTTTTCTGGGCCAGGATATACAAGCTAAATGCACCATTGTAATGATGCTCATACCTAGTAACTTTGCTTGTACTGCCCAACCAGAGAAATGGGCAGCTTATAGAGAATTCGCAAAAAATTGCATTTATAATCTGCATTGAGTAAATTAAGCTCAGTACGGTAGATATTTCTATTTGCACTCTTCCCAATATTTTGAGTGTACTCATAGTATGGAACCGGATGAGCTTTCTGCATTCACAATTTTGATTTACATTCTTTAAATTCCAACTTCTGATTTACCATGTGAAATTTCAGCAATTTCTTGGGTCTGGGGCTCGGGCCCATAAAAGGTACAGGATCCTAATAATCCTTGTAAAATTCATAGATCGTATATCTTCCATCCCGTTTGAGTTGAAGGAATAGGGGTCTGGAATTGGAATTGGAATGGGCCATTCTAGTTCCAACTGTTGGATTGGGCAGAATTTTTTTTTTTTTTTGATCAATAACATCAACTTCATTAAATTAAGAGAAGAGAGGGAAAAGAATACAAGGGGAGATAAAATAATTTAGCTCCCCAAAAACAGAAAAGGCAGGGAATGCAAAGAAAATTAAAAACTAGCCCAAAAAACAACCTCCCTCTTCACTCCTTGCTTGGCCAACCCATCCGCAAATGAGTTGGCACTCCTCTTCACCCAGCTGTACTGAATCTCAATGTCCCTACCCAGCCATAAGAA